GAGATGAAGTATTCAAGCCAAAGGTCACATCACATAAATCTGTATCCACAATGAGACCTATAACAGTAGCAACCATGGTACTAAGAGCAAAGGCTGCAGGGCAGTAGGAGGTGAGATGTCTTGCTCTGAGCAGGATTAGGTGACTATGGTGTTAAAACAAAAACCAAAACAACCTCCCCCCCCAAAAAAACCCTAAACTTAAAGAAGAACCTGCACAAGCACTTCCTTTCCATGACTGCTTAGTTAATTTAGGATAATTATGCATCAAGTTGCATCCACGAAAATTAGCAGAATAAATAGGAATAGTAAGTGTGTTTTTTCTGGGGAAGTGCTCAGAAGCTTATTGGACTTTTAATTGTATTCTTTTTACTTGGAAAAAAAATTGCTGCTCTAGAATGTTAAATAATATTGACATGTTCCTTTACTAGCAGATGACAGAGATCATTTATCTGTTAAGCAAAAGACTTTATATCTTTTGTAACTTTATATCTTTTGTAGCTTTATCATTTTTTGAAATGGCTTTAGTTTGGGGAAGCAATAATTACTTTGCTAGTAAGATCAAGTCCAGTTGACTTGCAAGAGCCTCCTACCCATTTTGTATAGTTAAGATGTTTAGAAATTATCTTTACAGAGTTGTATTCTTGATTGATTTGATTGTCTTGGCTTATTTTAAAGGCAAAACTGAAGCTCAGAGATGGCCCTAATGATGTTGTATTTAGTATTACAACCCAGTATCAAGGTACGTGCCGTTGCGCTGGAACTATATATCTGTGGAACTGGAATGACAAGATCATCATATCTGATATTGATGGCACAATAACCAAGCAAGTATCATAGGGATTTTTTGCTTTTCCTTTACATCTTGCATTATTTATGGCACAATTTTGAATATTAAAAAAGGATTAAAAAGTGTGGTCTGCAGTGGTCTTTGCTGCTTTGACTGCAATTTGTGTTCCTATTTCCAATAATCATGCATGTTGCAGAAGAGCAATGTTAATGTTGTAATGCTGCTCAGATAATTATCTGTGTTATAGTTAGACCTTGTTTTCTCCATCAATTTAGCAGCTTGCTAGAGACAGGAAACAACTCTACCAGGGTATATTGAACCTCAGTGTTGCTCAGTTCTTTGCTGCACCCACTAGAGTAGTGGTGGTGGTCAGCTTGCAGCACATGCATCACAAATGGCATGGGCAGCCTCTGTGTGTGGCATGTGGCAGATCTGGCAAGATACTGATAGATGCAGCAGGACCCAGAAAGAAGAGCAGCAGGTTGGGCAAGGAGCCCAGGGCAGGACTGAAAGCAGAGTGGTGGATTGGGCCAGGGAAGGGGAGTGGCACTCAAGGAGAACACAGGGTTTAATTTGTAGCATTCATGCCAAAATGTTGGCCCACACTTCACTAATGTCGAAGAATTGCTTTGGAAGTTCCTGCAAATATTCATTGCAAAATGACAGATTCAGGTGCATGTGTTAAATGAAAACCTTCTGAGTTGTGTGATAACCTGTGACTACCTTTGTTCTTGTTTTTAGGTCTGATGCTTTAGGACAGATTCTTCCACAGCTTGGCAAAGACTGGACCCATCAGGGCATCGCAAAGCTCTACCATTCTATCAATGAGTATGTATCTGAACTGTGAATCAACTGGAGTTTTAAAAATTTGGGAATCACTGGTAGATAATTCAGTAAATGTTAATTTAGTTGTCTTAAGTTAGACCTTTCATTCATGTCAAAATAATCTAGTTCTGTCCTCTATCAACTAAATTATCACTTAAAGGGCACTTTGTGCCCAAAAGATTGCTGCCTGGGTGCTGCTACTGTCTGCTCTCTGGGTACAGCTACTGTCTACGGTCTCTCCCAACTAATAAAGTTGATCCAGTTAAAGATGTTATCAAAAAAATTGCTCCTATAACCATACCTCTAAAAATGTATAAATGCATAGACCAGGGATGGGCCATTTAGGGGAGGGGGTAGTAATGCACATGCACTGCCCAGGGGAGCT